TAAATTTTCCATAGACTATAGCCTTCTGGGTCGTGCACATAGAGATATAACCTAGAGGGAACAAGAGCCCCAATCTTGCAATATCCGTAACGAGAGAGATGGATTATAGATAGTCCCCTCTATTTCATTCTAGCCGAGCTCTGTGGTTGGCTGCAGAATATGAGGGGTTAATAAGTAGCCAATCGCAGCTTAGTTAAAGAGAGAAGGAGGGAAATATCGGTGATCAATCTCTCTCGTTGCCTGTATCGCTCCACTTACAGGCAGCTGTACCCCGTGTTCCCTCTATGGTTATATCTCTATGGTCGTGCACTCCACCGTTATGAATAGAGAAACACGCTACCGTTTTAAAGTTTTTGTTTAGCGGCAAATAAATTCAGACGACGTTTGACTGCTGGTGTGGTGAATAGTGGCCTATGAAAAAGTATGTGTGTAGCATATTGTCCGTTTGGTGACGGGTTAAGAATACGGAGTGTCAAAACCCCTCATCATCAGGACAACAGCACTGCAAAGAGAAAGAAAACGTGGCACAAACCTTGTACCAACCCGTCTGGTCAGCGTGGTATAGAAAGCCGAAACCTCCTTTCTAAGGAGACGCCTATGTCCAGCAGTGGACTGTTAAAGACTGTTGAACAGATGTAGATATTTTGAACCCGTAACTAACATTCTATCAAGAGTAATAGTCAACATTATGACCAATTTACATTGTTTCTAGAACAATCTAGAACAGCGTTATAACATTGACGCCTAAGAACCGATATTTCCTTATTATATACCGAATTTTATTTGATTTGATGTTGATGTAAATCTAGACTATTATTCCTTGCAAGATTCGTAATTATATTTGTATTTTAAATTTAAAATTTCAAAAATCATAAACCTGACTGCAAAAGGACAATTTGAAAGTAATGCACTAAAAAGACCGAAACAGCCGACACAAACATGGCCCATTTTTGCGCCATCAAAAACTTTTAAACCAATTTGTTATTCCTTATTTTAAACTGATTTTGGTAATCTCCTTTTAATTTTTTTGGCTTTGATACCCTAGCCTGCTCGATAGGTTTGGTTCATTTTATTTTTATTAACCTAGTAGGTACTATTTTAAGCCAAAAATCCGCCATTTTGTTTTTTATTTTTAGGAGCCATCTAAGGAAACAAGATACGAGGTAATAAAGACATACAATACAACCAACAAACATACAACAATACTGTCCGTATGAACTTATAACGGGAATCTAAAAATACCCCATGAGTTTTTATTTCCTTACTATATAAAAGCAAAAAAAATAAAGTAAAGTTTTAAAAATAAATTATTCTGTTTTTTATTTTTTGGCGCCTACCGCGTTTGACAGATCTTGCGATGTTTGGCACTGGCACGACCTAATGAGCTAAGAGAACGTTTTTGTTTGTCACGTATTCCTATTGGTCTATAGTTATTCTCTCTGACAGAACTTAGCCAGGTACATTTTCAAATTTACCGAAAAAGAAAAAATAAGTTTGCATTTTGTCAGTTTAAAAAAAAAATGGCAGGATTCGTAGGATTTCTTCAGATTACCCGAACCGATTTATTATAATGCTAGTCACAGCGGGAATTTGATAAGATTATTGTTTTAACTGTTTTTACTACTTAAATGAAAAGTAACTGAGGTGTTTCAACATAAGTATAAGTTTCTAATTTAACAACATATATTTTGTAGGTTAAGAGGCTTAAGTACCTACATTTTTAAATTGGTTTCATTATATTTATATACTTACAGACTTAATCACTAACATAAATTAATGTGGAAAACTTACCTCATTACAAAAACAGATATGATACACGTCACTGTGTTATTAAATATGTGTTTATTTAAAAAATATTGATCGTAACCAATTAAAAAAGTGTATTTTTATGTTTTTATATGTAATTAAAGTATACAATTGCAAATGCATGCAAAAGCAATGCTGAATGTATTTACGTAATGCAATCTCAAAAATCATGCCGTGTGTTAAACAAGTTCGAAATATTTCAATTGTAGTTTGTTGTTGTAGCGGAATTATTCATTAAAAATTCACGTATTTAAGAAACCAGTTTAAAATAGTTCGAACTAACGGCGTATTATGACTTACCCGGTGCTGGTGTAGTAGCAACTTTTGGTGTTTGAGTGGCAGTTTTGCCAAACGTCGTCAAAGCTTCCGTTGAACTCGGCCATGTTGTGAGCAACAATGACAAGATGGCCGCTGCTGCCTGATACCTAGTCCACGTCGTAATACGCGATAATATACGCATACCTGTCTCTTGTTTTTTTAAGCTATTGCATAGCTTCTATCGAGGGCCTTGAGCGCGGGGACCGAATTCAGAAATTTCGTAACGAAAAAAACCTCACGCTAAAAACAAAACAAAAAACAGTACCAAAATCAAATGCTGAACGTCAAAGGAAATTTCGTCAACATAATGCAGAAAAATCTTACATGGATATGTAATTTGATTTAATAATAATATTTTTTATTTATTTATTTAAAAACAAATTGTAATATATGATTCAATATTTTTATTTAATAAAAGAAAAAAAATTGTTTTCTTATCGGTCACCACGCTCAAAAAGTGTAACTTGAATTAATATCAAAGAAAAAGAAATACTGCATAAATAAAATAAATAAATAATTATAATTTGCATAAGTTGATACAAAATGCTATGCAATAGCTTTACCGCGGCAGTCCCCGAGTGCCACACGTCTTTTCTTTTTTTGTATTTTTACTGTAGTTTTGTAGTTCGAAATTTAATTTATAAATTTTGCCTACTTATGATTTTAACTTTTTTTATGAGTTTTGATGTAATTTCTAACAATGTGATTAATCTTTAAGACAAACTGATTATTTTTGGACTCCAATAATTTGAATAAGAGATAGTTTTTTTCTAACGATTTTTTTTCTATAATATAATTCTAAAACGTGTATAAAACACGTTTTAGAATATTAAAAACATATTTATTAACATTAAGTGTAATTTTATGTTACTCTTTGTGCGACATTTAATTACACAAGCGATTAATTAAATTCTAGTTTCTTTAGTCAAATCGCACGTCCAAAACTTGTACGAAATTATTTATAGTAAAATAATGCTAATAAACTTTAAACAAATCTGGGAGCCATTTTGTTTTATTTTTGTTTCGTTTTTAAGTTATGTACCATGAATGCCAATTGAAGTTACTAGATGAAATTGTGTTGTTTTTCACGGATTTATAGTAGACATTAAAACGTAATTCTTTCTGGAATATTCTGAAATAAATGTCATTTGTCATATTGTTGTGAGTAGCTTACCGTTCGCCATCTGGTTTTGGGAGATAACCTTTAACTTATCTAGGTACATATTTGCGTATGTATGTAAGTGTTATGAGAGTGTTCGCATTCTGTATGAATTATATGAAAGCATGTTATTAAATGCTTATTAATTTTCATTTCTTACCGGGAGATACAGTAGTCGTTGCAGGTTTTGGGGCATCAGTGTTCGCCTTCCCGAACGACGATATACCAAACCCATTGGTTGGTTGTACGTTCAACCAACCCACGATAACTACAGACAATACAGCGACTGCTTGTCGCTTGCACATCCTTAAAATCACTTGTATACTTTGGCCTTGTCCAAATGATACCTTGGCTCTAATGTGTTATAAAAAGTTGTATTTATCTATGATCATAGATTTAGTATTAACTTCAAGTCTTCAAATATTGTTTTTGTAATGGCTGACAAAGGCCTTATTATGCCCGCCAATCATGTTTTTCTAATTGGTAAGTGTTATATTGTGAAGCGGTGTCATTTTTAGGCATAAAGATATATATTATCAGTGTATTTATTGTCTATTAGTGTATTTTTAACGAAATGCATAATGATTGTAATGGTATGTTAATTTTATTTCTCTCAATTACAATTCGTCATGATTTTATTTTAAAATTATGTATTATGACATTTTGAAAGTTTATTATTGGTTTTATTTCTTATAATTATATTTGTAATGAGAGAAATAATGTGTAAGTAGATACCTATTTAATGGTAAAATGTCAACAAAAGTTTTCAGATGTGTATGTTTATTGTATTCCCTAAAATCATGGATGTTATGACTAATCTAATTAAATGTAACTTTAAGTTTACTTATTAATTTGATAATTTAAAAATTGCATATCTTTAACTTATTGTATAATTAAGTAATATATAAATAGAAACGAAATACCAATAAATTTATGCACATAATTTAAAATATAAAATTCAGTGTATTTACAAGCTAGGTTTAATTAAAAATGTTTCATTTATTTTATTTTAGTTTATATACATATTATTTAATCATTGCTTTAGAATATTTAAAAAAAGAATTTATAAGAAGGTCCCATTATATAAAAATATCTTACCGGACGGTGGCGTTGGCTATGGGCTTTTGAGAGGATTTTCAGTTTTAATTACACCAAAAACAGGACTAAACGCACCAAATGATTCTCCTCTTAGCTACACCGTATTAAAATCATCAAATAACCATGACTTTCTTTCCACATTTTTTAATTAAATATCAGCTGTAAATTCTTGAAATCGTGATTTTAAAAGCAGCACAAAAACTTTTCGATAATTATGTACAATATATACAAACATATATCAAAACCTTTTTTATATTCCATAAACAAAAAGCTTTTGTATTCTTGTCTATTGATTTTATGTACTCAACACAACAGTTCTTTAAAAAGGTTGTCTACAATTCATCCTGTGTTACGCCTAGGTCGTCTATCGGTAAACATTTTTTTATATAATGGGACAATAGAATCCTCGGTATGTACCTGCAATACTCAAACATTAATGTTACTTATGACATTTATAAAAAGTTTAATAACACGTGTTAAATAATAAAAAAAAATGTGTTTTCTCTAAATTCTTGTTAGAACAACACGCAACAGTGAAAAAAAAGTGTTTTTTTTCATCTAATCAAAACCAATAGAATGTAGTGCTGTGTGAATGTCCCATTATATAAAAAATATTTACCAGGTGGTGGTGTGGGTGCGGCGGTCGGTGGCGGCTTCGTGTTTGATACCCCGAAAGTACTGAGGGCCTCTGAAGAATATCCAGTCAAGGATGCCAACACCAGTGACAGAATGAGAGCGGCAACCTGCTTCCGGCACATCTCGAAAATTCTAAACATTATCGGTATTGAAACGTAGCAATTTACTTTCAAACCCAAATGTTACTTTTAATGTTACGCCCTATGTCCGTGTCTATGGTTTGTCGAATGTATTTGAATTTGGAACTGCGATTTGATTTTTAATGGCGTCAAACAACTTAGTGACAGCTACGAGAATGACAGATATTTGGCTACCAAAATCTAAGCGACAATAAGGTACTGTATTTACAGAAAGTTTCTAGCCGAAATGAATACGCGTGAATTATTTTCAAGTTATTTGGCGCGATTTTATTATTCTGACAGCATTTATTTATGAAATAAAAACACATTCTAAGTTATTTCAATGAGAAAAATAAAGAGAAATACGAAAATTTTGCTGAATTATTAACGAACTTTGCCTCTAGCCTTATGCACGTAGTGACGTATATTAAAAATTCTTCTAAATTATCTATCTTACTGTTGTTATCCTTTTAAATTTTTGTCTAAGGTAGAGCCATTGCCAAGCGGAAAGATTCTTCATTATTATCTCTGTAACCTCTTGAATTAGCGCCATAAATATACACTTTCGAGACTTTTTCATATACAGAAATGGTGTTTATAATCTATGATCTCATTATATCTTCGCCCGAGTAGATAGCTATTTAAAAAAGTTGTGGCTCTATGGTTATTATTAGTAAGTAAATGAATAGCTGTCAGAATAATAAATTATTATAAATGGATACAAAACAAAATGGTGATTTATGTGACATATACACGGAGATTATTAATTACAGGATACATAATGAATAAATGTGTTCACGACAAACGTTTGATATTGGAGTAATCAATCAAAAGGGCCTGGAATTATTTATTTCATTTTCACAGACGGGTCGTGGGTTCGATTCCCACCCAGGACAAATGATTGTGTGATGAGCATGATCATTTGTTCTGTCATTTATTTATAATATGTATCAAGAAACATATAAGAATTATTATCAGTAGTTTAGTTAGCATAGTACAGGTTCTGCCTAGTTAGGGATCAGACGGCCGTATGTGAGATGTGTGAGGTTATTATTATTTGCACGTTACTAATAAAGGTCAGGTGAGTCCTGTCGTCGTGGATCATAGGATGCGGATATCGACTCTTCGATCTGCTACATTCTCGGTATTATTTACCCTGGTTCCTATCCAGCTTTCTTAACCCAAATTCACTTCTTTTTTTATCCAGTCTGAAAACGTTGACATTCCGCAAGCTGCCGCTGGCGTCAGGCAGGAGGCCAAGCTTCCACCGAGTCTGTTTTCCAAACTTGGTTGCGGTCGGCTTTAAGTCTATTACGATACGGCTAATTTCTTACGCTGAGTGACTGACATCAGACCTTCACAACTCCTTTATGTCGGGGCACCAGGGACTTCCTTTCTAGGGTATACCTGGTTCTCCGGCTATTAGTACCCGAGACGGCGTGCGGTTTTAGTCGGTTCGTGCCCGACATGCCACCGATAGGTGGTATCCGAGCGGTTTTCCGCACGGAAAAAAAAGACCTCCACAACCCAATTACTAATGTGTTAAGAACAGTACCCCATTCTTAGACTGACCTGGCTAGCTGGCTGCCTAACTTAACAACCTGTTAATCTACTCCCTTACCACTCAGCCACGAGCTCTTCAGAAGGCAACCATAAAAAAAATCCAGCCCAAACACTTTTGAAATGTTATATATTGTGCCGACTCCAAAAAAAAAAATGAGAAAAGGGGACGGTACATAACAGTAAAACTTGTTCTCAATCTGGTTTTTTCTTAATTAAAAGAGGGAAATATTTAACTGTCAGTTTTAAAAGGCTTACGTCTACCATACACATGACAGATGTAGTTTTTAACCGACCTCAAGAAGGAGGAGGTTATCATTTCGGATGTTTTTTTTTTTTTTGTATGTTCGTGCATAACTCCGTCATACATAAACGGATTTATAAAATTGATTTTATTGTTCACAGGGGTTTTATTAAGAATGGTCCCATTTAAATTTCATATCCTCTTAGATCTGATGTTGAGCTTCGGAGACGGACAACGGAACTCTTTAAAAAATGACAGCTAATCAACAATTTTTTGTGCTCGTTATTGTTTGAAGTCGGTTCAAATTTCGCCTCCGAAGGGAGGTTTCCATAACTTGCATGTTTGTATTTCTGTTTCTATGTATCTGTATATGTGTGAGTACGTGTGTGGCTGTGTCTCTGTGTATTAATGTTTCGGTGTATTTGTGAATATGTATAGCTATGTGTCTATTACTACTTAAATCTATATATATATATATATATAAATGTTGTGTTTCTTTGTGTACGCTTCAAAAACTTAGAAAATTCTACATAGATTGATTTTAAATTTTGACACGATATCTAAAACGCTTCAAATATGGTTATTATCTATTTTTCGTGTCAGTTTGTTTCTCATTTCCCTTCAATTCAACCAGAATATGCCACTGCGAAGCATAGTAGGGTATCCACAGCTAGTATTATATAAAATGTTAAGTTGGTTTGTGTAAGCTCCAAAAACTCAGAAAGATTTGCACCGATTGAGTTCAAATTTTGACACAACACACTTCAAAGATGGTTTTTATCTATCTTTTGATACCGCAATGTGCCACAGCGAAGTGTGGCAGGGTACAGACAGTCTGTTAATAAATCTGTGCCGTTTCAAGATCATCAGCTGTTTTCTCATCCTATCAATGATCAAGTGGTATTTGAGACTGTAGTCAGTTTGAAATTTAGCATCCTGATATTACAACAACATGATAGCATAACCTTGGCCTGATACTGCAACAGCACCTGGATTGAGCAAGAAACTTAACTCCGCATGATCTTATAGCAGAAGAATCGTGTTTGAGCTCATTGGAATAACCTCATGTATTCATGGTAGAAGATATAATCTTGAATCAAGGGAATTTTAAATCTTACTCAAAGCCCAGAAAAAGCAATTAACATTTTCCAAGTGGTAAGCCAAAACCCTCCTTCCTAAGGAGAGGCCAATGTTCACCAGTGGACTATTAAAGGCTGTTGATGTGGATGTTAAAAATTGCGCAAAGGATAATTATTATAAGTTTAAATTCTGGGACATATTACATAGAAATCTAAACTAAACAGGTTGTAATATGATTTCCAAGACCCTTTTTTTTTAAGACAACACCCGCACTAGCAAAATATCCTGTGTCGCGGGGGACTTTTACAAACATACATGAAACGGACACAAAGGACAGACTCAGAACAACAATTTGTGTATCACACAAAGTGTTGTCCCACGTGGGGATTGCACCCACAACACTCAGCGCATAAGAAAGCGGCGAGATTACTGCTTAAACCTTATAACTTGACACAATACATCTCACACACGGCCGTCTGATCACAAACTAGTCACAGCAAGTACTTCGCTAACCAGACTGCTGATAAACCTACTTATACATTTCTAATTCCATTTGTCCTGGGTGGGAATCGAACCCACTATAATAATTAGGTAGGTATTGCACAAAAAATTTAAACAGTTTAAATATTAGTTAAATACACGCAACAAAAAACTCTTTTAATTGATTAAATCCAATTTAAAACAATAATATAGTCACTTACAAAAACTATCGTTGTTCGTAAATGTTCTATTTGCTTATAAATAAGTAATTTTATTAGCTTTGAGTGATCGAAAATTAATACTAAACGTTTTTAATGATGACACATTTGATTGTCTCTCAAAACAAGTAATTATCTTCTTTTTTTATAAGACTTTGAGTTTCGAATAGAGCATAGATCATTTTAGATCTAGGACAATTTAAAAGTATGAGACTTTAAATAAATTATTCGATATTTATGCCCTGTACATATTATTAACAAAAAAAAAAACAGTCGAATTGAGAACCTCCTCTGTTGTGTTTTTGAAGTCGGTTAAAAATCGATCAGTCATAGCTAATATTTATATATTTTTTTAATATGGTGCAAAAAGCAGCTGTGACATTTAATTTAAAAAAAAGCTTACCTACACACTTTTTAGATTAGAATACTCTCATTTTGACATAACAATAGTTACATTTAATAATTAAAAAAGTAGTTATTTTAACGTTACATTAATAAAGACATTGTGAAGTTTAATTAATTCCACAAACTCTTTGGTCAAACATTCTCGTAAAGTATTCGCATCTAGAATTCCTTTACACGTTGTTAAACATTAAATCAAAAGAACTCACGAACTATTTCGTAAGAATTCTGTTTCTTGACACGTTTGCATGTATAAAACATTAGTTTACTTAAATAAATTGTTTTACATTTCAAAACAATAATACAAATTTATAACTTTAACATCTAAGAAACAGATTTCGAAAGCAGAACTTAAAATTTAAAAATAACAAACAGTGCTAAAGCGTGCGGCGTTATTTAAAAAGTAATTTATTAAATATTTTTAATTTCGGAATTCCATTTTTAAAAGACAAACTTTTTTTTATTAACTATGTACTTTAAAACATTGGCTTTTAGATTTAGTATTTGTCACAACGTTGCGGTGGTTAGAATAAGACTGGGGTTAGTTACAATGGTTGCTAAGAGGTTGCACGGTGTACTCGTGGTTGTGGAACGAAGTTTGACGCGGTACTAACCAAGGCTTAAGCAACGCAAGGTTAGTTTCTTCATATACAGGTTGTTTGAAAATGTAACGCGTACTAAACTTTTGTATAAATAATGTTCTATTTTATATTAACATTGTTAATATGTTTTTTAGAACAGGGTGCAATGGTTTTCTTTTTTATTTAATTTATGTATAACGAACTTTTATATATTTTTAATTTTAAAAATTACCACGTTAAACAAAACCCTGGTAAAATAAAATAACTTCGAGGGTAGGGAATATCGGGCCTCCAGTAACGTCACTCACTCAGTGAAAAATAAAATTATATCACTCCATTCGAGCCGGTCCATATGTAAATCAAGTCACTAGCTTTCAACTCAAGTTTTTTAAACTATCTACCATACTACCAAATTTCATCTAAATCTGTTCATCGGTT